ATGTACACATCTCTGACATATCAGAAAGCAGCAAGAACAGCAGCAGTCCCTGCAGTGATACTAAAAATCTTTGGCTACTTCTTGCATTTTGAGGTGGTGGCAAAACCTGTGTTAGTATCATCTGGGATGAGGGCCTCTGCAACAACAGGGAGGAAAGGGACTGTAATACAGGGAGAATACACCTCCCATGTTCTATTCACTCTGCGGCGTACAGCAAAGAAGCAGCCGTTTTTTGCTGAGAAAGCTGGACACAGGAAACAGCTCCATGAACAAAGTCTTGTCCACGGCACTACAGGACAGGATTAGAAACACTTTAACTATACTTCTCTGAGTCAGCACATATAAACTGACCTTTATTTCTCCCTAAGTACTTGGGGGAAAAAAAAAAAAAAAAAGCCAAACAACTTTCTCATGTGATTACTAGCTAGGCTGCTGGCAAAATGAGGTTTGGGAGAAAGATCACAAAGTTTATGCCTGCATCTTCTCTGAAGGTGTAATAGGTATCCAGTAGCCAAGTCACTCCGGAGGTATCTTGTTGGTAATCGGAGCAATCTGTGCTTTCTCCTTGACTTTCTCTGGTGACAAGAATTCTTGCACTTCTTCCAGCAGCTGATTCAAGAGAGGTTAGTCCTACATTACACAGAAGTGTTTAATAGCTATTCTTAGATAACATAACTAAAGGTATGAGCTTCCTGCCACAAAGGAGCGATGTTTTTGAATCTCCTCTCCACACAATAAATTAGAAAGGGCCAAAAATCTTGAGATTGTTCCTGGGCTTTCTTTAGAAAACTTGGCACTGGTTAAAAGTGCTCAAATAACTTATCAGGAGTTCACTATCCATAATTCACATTTGTGATTTTTTTCAAATCATACGACAAAACATACGACAAAATCAAGTAAAACTAGGTAAAAAATGTTCCAGAAACCCTGACCAAAGCTAAGCTTCTTCACTAATGGTAACTGGCCTCAACACACAGCCTAGCCTCACGAGTTTTCTCCCCGATTATTTTTATTCCAAACTGAAAAGAATAATCTTTTTCGAAATCGAAACCAAAACTTGAACTCTGCAATTAATTAACACTTTTGTTAATTCTAGCAGTCTTTCTTAGTCCATGCAGACCCACAGATACAACCAGCTGGGAGGAAGGTATTAGTTCTAAATGCATACCTAGTTCAAGAGTAACTTTTTGGAGATATGGAAAAATTACATGACATCTTCAGGACCACAAGAAATTAATGACCTGACATCTCATTCTACTCTTGATAAAACTCTGGAGATCACGGAGTGTATAGACTGTTGACTTTAGAAATTGTTTGAGAACCAGGTTACAAGTGGGCCACTCAGTAGTATCTCGGTCTTTCCTGGCCTACAGAGAAAGAAAAACTCTGTAAGATTATGAAAAAGTCCTTGCAAGAGAGGAATCTAACACAATAGATTTGTTCTCACTTCTTTTAAAATATAACCAGCTGGATTCACATAGCTCATTTAACTCTGTGATCACTCGCCTATCAAGACAGGGTAAGCTAACCCAAGTATTTAAAAAGTCTACTCAACCTGACCTGAGACAGGGAATTAACATGGGGAATATAAAAAAGTCCCTGAAAACTTCTTCTCTAGAAAGTTCCCAACACTAATGCAAGAAAGAATGTACACACCTACAGCAGAAATCCACACAAAAAATGTCTACAATAAAACTTAATGAAATGCAAAAGCTAAGTTTTATCTTGTGTGTATTTCTGTAGAGTTTGCAGTAGGAGCACGTTAGCTGAGAAAACAGAAAAATTAAGCACAAACCAGTGGTTGTGGTGACGAGAGAAAGGCAGCTGTGACCAAGGCTTGGTATACTCACTCCATTATTCAGAAGACCCTGACTTCTACAATACACACCTTTTGCTTCTCCACAGGAAAGCAAAAAGTCAGTCAGCAAAAATACTGAATTGGTTAGCTGGTCAGTTTTTAATTAATACTTTCAGTAATATCAAGTTGTTGTGGAAGAAGCCATAAGGCATCTGACAAAATCCCTGAATAAAAAAAGCACTGTTGATAATATTGACTCCTCATGGCCTCTAGACACCCAGCTATCATTATTCAGCACAGGTGGTGAGGACACACAGACCCAGGTGTCAAAGCTTCCTCTTTCCACATCCCAGGCTGCCACGTGCAGTCCCAGCTCTCTCACCTTCACTCACAGGAACAGGGAATGAAGTCACGAGACAAAAACCAGGGAGAAAGTTGCATTATGAGTGTCCCCAGCATGGAATGTTACACCAAAATGAATCCCAGGATGGGCTGCAGCTGGGGCCACATGGAATTGCCCTGGCAATGCTGCAAGATGGATACCTGTTTTCATAACCCTCCTGCTGCAATCCTACTCAGTCTTTCTCACATAACACTCCTCACATCCTTGACGTGACAGACGTTTGCCAAGGACCTGAAATGCAAGAGCGCAACTTCCAGCTCTTGCATACCTTCACTAGTCATGCCATTAAAGGTCTGTGACAGAAGCCCTAACGAGCCAGAAGAGCCCCTCATCTTTCGGAGCAGCAGCAAAAAAGAGCATGTTCTTCCCTTGAGGTGATCCCCTGTGAGGTGAAGGCAGTAGGGAAAGGTAGCGGCAGCCAAGTCACAGAGATGATAAAATGTCAGGCTCCTGGCAGTACAAAATGGCAGCTGAACCCTGGCAAAATGCCAAGCTGTTCAAACAGTGCATTGAGAAGTACAGGGGGCCATAATTATGATTAGCATAATAAGAGAGTGGTACAACAGCTACCTAGTTACTCTGAAGGGTCATGGAGAAATCATAACAAAGCAAAGTTTTAAGGAGAGACACAAAAGAAAACAATGACGTAGCTGCTCGGTGGGTTTTACCCAGAGGTTCTTCCATGCGTGAAGTGCGGCCCGGGAGAAAGTACAAAGACTGTTTAAGAGATCAGGCTCTGAATCAGGAGCGGCTGGCCGTGCCTGCAGAACTCAAACTGCTCCACAACATATAAAAGATCATATGAAAAGTGTGACACTGAAGACAAAGGACCCTATGAGAAAAATAGGCTGTTTGTGTAATTTTGAATAAAACCTGGGCTCAATAGAGTCAGTCAACTAACCAGAAAAGACTGTTTTCTCTTTTCCTCAAATGAAACAGAAAAGATAAAAATATGACAAAATTTAACAAACAGAATCTGAATATTCTGATATTTGCATTTTTTTATTTTGAATGTCATATAAACAATATTTACAGATCCATTGCTTCAAGCAATTAGCCAGCTGTCTGGGTAAAATTAATCAGAGTTGTAATAAAAGTATTACAAATTGAGTTTCAGACTTAAAGCTATATGGATATGAAAATTTCTAGATTCACTGTACTTTGTACATCTGGAGGAATTTATAAACAGAGCTGAAGTTTAAAATCAAGTTTTCTTTGCAAATAGATCAGAGTTTTCATTGAGATCTGAATTCCATCAAAACCAGTCAGAATCTGTGTATAAAAAACCCCATCCTTATTTAGTAGGCACAATCTGGTCCTCCATGAATAGAAAGGTTACTGTTTACACATTGTCACCTCCCTTTATCTCTGTGCTGCTTCTGTTTTTCCTATTAACCTTTTCCATTACCACAGACATCAAGAATCCTGCATGTATGAAAAATGCTTCTCTCAAGGCAAGGTCAACTCCCTCCCATACAAGACAACTGTATGCTGTATCCCCAGTTTGATTCATCAAGACAACCAAAGTTACAAGCTAATACTGCCATTAAGATTCTCCATCTCATTTGTTATCATACGATATCAGACAGAACATCAACTGAAGACGTGCCTTTTGCATTTTAGAGGCTAATGCAGTTGAACTGGTAAAAACCCTACCATTGTATCTTTCCCTTGCTTTCATTTTTCCCCTTTCTAAAATCCACAAAGTCACGGGTTTCTTTCATCTTTGAAAAAAACAAAACACCACCACAACCCTTGATATCTGACTTCTTTCTAAGCAACTCTCTCTACACTGATAGGAATGAAACCCACCTTTAGTATGTAATAAATGTATGGCTTCCAACCACAGCAGTCCCCATAAGGGAGATCATATTCTTCTTCTCAGACACCAAAATACTTCTACTGTCATAAATCCTTCCTGACAGCAATATCTGACAAACACGGTATTAAATTATGCTTTTTCTAGCTTAATCACAGCTTTGCTATGTACACCAACAGACACTGGTGCAAGCCAAGCTCAGGGACATACACCTAAGGAACACATCTTAATTCTCATTTGCAGTGCTCACTTTAAACCATCATAACACTTAATTGAAGCAATTTATCCTGTAAACATTCACCAATCAGTAACATATTTCAGAACACAAACTCAGGGAAGCACACAACTGATTTTCCCAATTAGGGCAGTTGCTTTTTAAACTTTTCATCTTCTTGTTAATAAGCCCTGTATTTTAGATCATTTTAGAACATTCATTTATTCCCAGGAATAGCTGTGTATCTAATGCAATATACACTTATGAAGAAAAGTAAGAATCAGCGTCTCTCTTGCCCAGTCATTTTGCGTAAATGACTATATACACAGCAGTAAGAGGAAAAAAGATACACTACTGTTAAATACTGTTAGGACTGAAGAAGCAAGAGAACATACTCTATTTGCCTTTCAAATACAGATTCTAAAATGCTGACTTGTAGTGATTCTTAGTTCTGGATTTTGCTGCTGTTCACAGTTAAATGCATTACAATCACAGAACACATGTCAGCAAGTAGCAGAAAGCAAGATCTTTGCTTTTTTAAAAAATTCTACTTTCCTAGTAAAAAAACAAAAATCACAACTGATTGTTCTATATTAAATATCTAACTGTTAGTAATGAAAGGACAAACCCAGCAGTTTTTGTAATCTCCACCTCACCCATCTTGTAACTCAGAAAATGAAATAAAGCAAACTAATCAACTGTCAGACTGAAATGTTCAAACTAGTAATCCTGACTTACTCATTTAAACAAAAGATAAGTCACTTACAGAACTGGATGAACAATCAGCTCTGGACTATATGATTTGATTACTGTTGCTGCATCTTTGGTACAAAACACATGGGATAAATCTGCACCCTAAAAAAGAAAATTTGCAAACAGAATTATCAAATTTGTACTTAATAATAACGTCATCATTCTAAAGTTTACTCCGTGAATAATTCACCTTTATTCTTACTTCTCAGTAGTTAAAGCAAGCTTAATTATTTTTTCTATTTTGGTTTAGACAACCATGCAATGTTTTAGAGAAACTGTTTTGTATCTAACTTCCAATATAATTTTTTTCTGCTTCTCACCAATAGGATAACTGAAAACACAGATAATGAACCTCTACTCACTTGAGAAATGTTTCTCATTTGCACACGAGTAAAGACTAAAACGTCACATGTACAATAAGAAGAAAGGCAAAAGAACACAGTCGAACAGGACAAGCTACATTTGAGAAGAAAAATAATACTGTAATATGCTTGTAAAATATAGCTATGGCAATTTATGAGTACATTTCCAGTCCTACCATTTTTATTCAATGCGCCAAATCCACACCAGATAAAGGCTGGCACAATTTAAACAACACCCGTTAAGATAAACATTAAAGCTGAAGAGTTTAACCTCAAGCTTCTGTTATAAACTCAAAAAAATAAGACATAGACATAAAAATTATGTAAGCAGTGACCAGAAAGCCTGATCTTGTATCTGTCTTGAATATTGAAATTTCCCAAAGTTAAGAAAGCATTTCCTCTGCTTTACTTCTATACACTTAACATGTCAGGCTACTAAGCAATGCAGATTTGATCCTATGACTCTTTATGTGCAGAGATGCAATGATACGAGACCAAGTGACTTCAATAGGGCACCCTCCTAGTATGCGGTTTTATTTGCACATAGTGAACAGAAAGCTGAGTGGCCTTAGCATGTTATAGAAGAACGTTAAATAATATAGTTTCAGTTTTAAATCCTTGAGGGACTGTATCCTGGGGGAGGAGGAGGTGGGAGTGGGAAGTGGGGGCGGAAATACCTGAAATGGTTACCTACTTATTGAAACAAATCTTCGAAAAGAAAAACCATATACAACAAACTGAAAGTACTGACACACTATAGAGAGAGTATGGAAAACTCTATGTATTATGTAAGCATGATTTGTTTACATTTGAATAATCACCACTGTACTTATGTAGTCTGCAGTAAATATATTTTTAGCCAGCTAACATGTCACTAAAATAAGGAAGTTCACACTTCTAGGAAAAAAAAGCTTAGAAAATACTACTGCTAAAGATTATAACGTAAATAAAATATGCTATTAAAAATTACATTAAATTCAACCAACAATCTTTAGACTTACAGCACATAAGAATTTTAAGAACCTAAAGTTGTTTCATTCAACACACTTGTCAGGTCCAGGAAAAATTTCTGAAGAACTGACTGCAGCATTGAAAACAACCTTAGATTAACGTTTATAGTTATTTTATTGTCCACTTTCGGAGAATATATTTCATCAAGTTTTGAAATTTCCTATCCAAGTCTCTGATAAAACAGTTCTCCCTCAGAAGTTTTCAATTTTTTCACATATGTCTCACCTGACCTTATTCAGAGAAAGTATTTACATAAAACATAGCAAATGACACATATTTACAAAGTATTTCTACAAATCCAGGACTAAGGATTTCTTTTGTTATATAGAGGATGTTTTAGAACTAAAATTTCACGGGCAGCAGAGGACGAATGCTTTTAAAAAATGGCACTTAGCCAATGTAAATGATGAAAAGTTAATTTTGGATTGGTATAGAAGAACACGTACCACTTTGAGAGCTGTAATTGCAGCAAAATACGGTGCTCCAGTGTATCTAGGATGAAATACAATTTAGGTTAGGAAACACAGTCATGAGATTAAATAATCTAGAAATATGCCTGCCATAATGAAGTCCCAAATTCAAGAGCAAATTAAAAAAAAACAAAACCTTTCTCTTGTTTCCTGCAAAAGACAGATAAAATCTTGCTATATTGAAGCCAATCTCAAATGTTGCTTTGATTTCAAAGGCACAGGATTTCACCTTAGCCACCTAACCCTTTCATAGAAATATTTATAAAGATCATGCTATATAAAAGCAAACTCTTCTCCAACAACAGATTTAAAAGTTTAGAGACAAACAAAACAAGAGTTGAGCACTGTCTGCAAGCTAAATCTGGGATCTGTGACCTGGACCAAGCCCATCTGGTTTTAGACGGTTAACCTGAAGTGCCTCAACTGTGATTCCAGTTGCCCTAAATACAGACAGAATCACCCTCCAGTAGTGTCTACTTCTGCCAAGAGGTAAGAGCCTAATCCCATTAGACCAACAGGAAAACTAACTCCTGGCTAATCAATGCAGCTTTAAGACATCACCTTTTTGCTCTTTATAGAATGTTTATTAACAGCAGATGTCCAACAGCAGACCTCTTTTACAAGATGCCATCTCTTTCAAAAAAGGAAAATGAAAAACAGGAAGGTGTAGTGGCTCATTCAAAGTATTGTGGAGGTTACTGAACATGGCCAAGGAAAGAATAGAGCTTGTTTTATTTCTAGGTCAGTACAGCATTTAACTGATTCATGCTATATCTCTTTTTATCCCTGAAACATGCTATTTCTATTACTCCAGAACATAAACCAAGGTATTGACAGAATCTTGTAAACACCACAATTTATCAAAATAAAAAGCACACAGTAAGAAAATGTACTATTCCTGATTTAAGAGACCCAGTTCCCAAGATACCAAAATATATATTAAAAAAAAATCAGACGTGCCATTGTCTTACTCTATTCTACTTATTCTGTAACTTCACCATGCAATAGTAAAAGAGTAATGTTGAGAGCAGAGAGAGTTTGGTGGTCAAAAAAGACAGAGAAGATAGCCACAGACACAAGCAGCATTCTAAGTTTCAACCACATTCACTACCAAAATTTTGCAACACAAGTGCAGGGAAACATGTTCTTTGAGTTTGAATGGCTCCTACGAGTACTTATGACATCTTCAAACTCTCTCAGAAACAAAAATCAAATTTCTGTTTAACTTACTCTTGACATCCTCCAACAATGCCTATACGTCCATCTTGACCTTTATGCCTTTTCCCTGTTAGAGGAGGGATAACATTGCGCACCAGTTGGAAAATATTCTCCATATCCTTTAGAGAATGTGTTCTGTGCAGTGAAAAAGATCTCTCTATAACTGAAAAGAAGAAAATAAATGTTACATCAAAGTATGTTCTTTCTTAAACTACCACCAGTATTTCTTTCAAGCACTCATAAACACTCATAAAATCACTCAAAGATATACAAAGTGACATACTTCTGAAAACCAAATGCTTCATCACTTACAGGCCTTTAAAACCGTGAGTAACTAGGGAAGGTGATTATTTATAAAGTTAATTTAGGGTCTGATGCAGAGAATATTCCCAGTGACTGCTCACAGTCCTAACTTAGGGTTCAGGTACAGAAAGAAACAACAGCCCAGAATAGTTATATGAACATTTTGTAACTAGAAATATCTTCTTAGTTCAGCCTGAAATCACTTCCATAATTAAGCCCAACTGAAATAGGTACACTTACTAAGGACTAAACATATCCAGACACAGAGCAAGCACGGAGCAACTAAAACCACGTTTTAAACATACACCCTACCTTATTTTTCACTTCCCCTCAAAGACTTCCACCTCTTAGCAGAATCAGGGCTTAGCTCACTGCTTTTTTAATTTGGCAGGTGACTACAAAGCATAATGAAAGTCCTTCTGCAAAACTCTAATCCAAAGTACCAGATGCAAACATTACAAGTAACACACAAAGATAATTTTTAGCTATAATACAACTACAGATCTCTGATGCAAAGCTACATGTTAAGCTACATATTAAAACAACTGCACACTTGGAAGGCTATATATTCAAATTACTGTTCCAAAAGACTACAGAAATTCAGAAGAAAAAAAGTATTTCAACAATTACAACTACAGAATTAAACCATTTACCTAACATGCAACAAATTTGAAGATCAGTACCTCTATCAACGATGCTAACTATAAATTGCAGTAAATACACTAAAAGAGTAAGTTCTTCTATTTCAACAAAGCTCCTCATTAACTGTACAATTCTGTTCAGAAGAACTGTTTATGTGAACATTAATATTAGTCCACTAGACCATACCTATGCTTTCTTTTTTACAGATCTTCTAAAAGGCTTTCAAGGAACTGCTATATAGTAATGCATAATTACATAAAGAATAACTCCTATGATATTCCCTATTTTCAGCTGTATAAAACTTAGTAAACTTACCCCCAACTCCAAAATCTAGAGGGGGGAAGGAGGAAAAAAAAAAAAAAAAAAAAAAAAAAAGAGGAAAAACTGTTCCAGAAATTTTGGACATAATAATGGGAAAAAAATGTAATGAACAAGAAAACACATCTGTGCACTATCAGCAGAAAGCATCTTTTTCTCCATCTTCCACAGAATCTAAATGTAAACCAGACGTGCTAATCCTCAGTAATAAAATGCTTTAGTGTTCAATAATGATAAACACTCCTGGCTGATCTTTTGCTTTTAAAATCCTTCTATAATACAGGCACCCCATTCCTATTGAGGTAAAAAAAAAAAAAAGCCCAAACAAACCAAAACACCATGTTTTGGATTATGGCCAAAATAGCATTGCAGTGACCCAGAGGAGAACAAAACGCTCATCTCCTCTGGAAATACAGCAAATTATTTTCTTTAAATCACACTTCATACACTAACTGGTTTTCAACCACGCAAGAAACAGACTTATCATATAGCTTGTAACCCCTGAAGTGCCATGTTATTAAGAAGGTCCTCTGTTTCTTTGTTGCTGTTTTTTGTTTATATGTAAATATGAAGTGATTGCACAATAAATAGTGAGAAAACAGTGAATTACAGAAAAAGCAGTTCTTAACAGAGCCCCACTTACCTACAGAAACACTAAGGCATATTTAGCTATAAACAAGTGAAATCTTAATTCCTTAGAAGATGTGCTGCCTGAAGCATCGTTTTCACATTATGAATGCTTTGTTACATCTTCACCAATTCAAAGATTAGAATCCCAAATTGCTCTTGCTACAGTTAAGTATATATAATGTATTTTTGCACAGTGGAATACGATTGCATACCTATATGGCAAAATCCAGCGAGAAAAAATGAACTCTAGTTTCAAGTCTTTACAGACAATGAAACTCAGTGAAACACTTTTCAGAAGTAATGGCAAGGCCTTGCAGGTACCACCATCCCAGTCTAGAAGGTCAAATGATTTCCTAAGGGATTTTCTAAAGCACTTCAGGTTTCCTTTCAATTGAAAAGTGAAAACAGGATTTAAAACACAAAATCCATACGTATGCCATAATTTATCTAGGAAAGTCTGCTGTCATCAAGGAACGCTACAGACCAACTATCCAGTCAAGAAGAGACACGACTACATCAGCCAGCCTAAACCCTCAAGAGGCCTAACCATCCAGTCCCCCGTGCATTTTAAAGGCAAACACAGTACGTAGCGTAGAACTGAAAAGGCTCCAAGATCCTCTCAGGAATCAGAGAATGCCCTTTCGGATCTGGCACGCTGGATTATTATTCAACACTGAAGCTGGGTGGTTTTGTTTCTTTTCAAACCACACTTTTTTTCTTCCGAGCAGTGTGAAAATCAGAATTAAAACAGAACGAAGCTTGTTTCGTTTCCACGCAGCAGGCTATTACCACCGAGCCCCAAGCTGACTCTGGTTTCAGCACTGATAGAGTAGCCCTGTTTTCCTCCTGCCCACGGAGCCTACCTCCATGTACAAAGAGACTATGATAAAGATAAATGACACGGAGCCACAGATCCCGAGAAGTCTGTTAATGAATGCTAGAATCCGATTATCGGCTTCTGGCCCACACATAAGGTACAGAAGGAAAAGTCTGTGCATAAATACCAAATGCTTTGCCTTTTTTCTTTAAAATAAATTCAGATGCCCAAAGAATTTATAAATTAACTGGTGTAGAAGAAAATAGATGCCAATATTTTCACCTTCTATGACACCTACTATATTAATATGATGTTTGATTAAAATATAAGATTCAGAATTTTGATTTAAAGAAATTTATTTTTAAAAAGCTGAATTTTAACATTTGACTTACTTTACTGTAGGCAAAACTCCACTCTTTTCTCAACCCTGAAAAAATATATGCACAGACTTGTCTTCGTATACTGTGTTAGGCCTGTTAACTTCAGCAGCAGCAGAATTTCCGCTACAAGGTACCTAATGCTTCCAGATAGCTTTCAGCAAATGTGCTACTTGCCTTTTATATATAAAACTTCTCCTAACTCCATTTTACAGAGACGTGAATGTGGAAAGAAGTCCCCAATATTTATACGGTTCGAAAGGTGTGTATTTGCTCATTAAAATTTGTTATAACTAATATATCTCTATTAAAAAAATCGGTACAATGGTAGAAATGACATTTTAATTTAATTTTACATCAGACAGACACCTTCACCACAATATTTAATAATTCCAATTAGCTTTTATTTTCAAAAGCTACTTACTCCCAGTGCTTTCACACAGAAGTTTAAAAAAACCCTAGCTTTTATTTATGCTATAGAAGGAAGTACCTATCGGTGGAGAAAGTGCTGCTGTCATAGCATTATAATTAAAGTTATCCCCATACGAACGATGGTTCGCTCTCTGAGGTGGACTCGCTGGTATAGATTGTGACCTTTGTGATACCGTAGAAGAAATTCCTGCCAACATCTGTCCCAACATCTGTAACATCTGGAGCTCTCGAGCATGCTCAGCTTCCCGACGCTTGTCCTCAATTTTGAGCCTCTGCTCTTCATATCTATAAAATTTCTCTTCTGTATCCACACTCTGCTGCAGGAATTTTTCCATCATTTTATCCAACGTTAAATTTGCATGGCGTTTTTTTGATCTTTTGGGCTGATTGAGAGGCGGGGTAATAGTTGGAGCATTGATTTCTTTAAAGCCTAAAACAAGAAGAGAGACAATTATTTTTCTAAAGAAAAATAATTTTCTAAGAAGAAAACAGCAAAGAATTTCCCTATGAGATGTGCACCTAGTGCATCACGAAGTTGTTATAGTTTTTCAATGTGAATTGTAATTATTTCAGGTATTTTTATTTCAGAGCACCAAAGCAAAACCACAAGCTTCTACAAAGGTATAAAGGTAACACGAAAATCATGAATAGGCATCTTTTAATCGTTGTAGTACTAAACTTCAACAATAGGAGTCTTTTTGATCTTCTAAAAAGGTTTAAGTGAAGGCCATTAAACAGTATAGCCTCATTTGTGTATTGCAGGTAATTACATTAATCTAAATTGAGTTTCAGTCTGTTGGCATTCTGGATTTGCATTTCAAAAGAACATTAGTGTAAACAACTCTTTGATGGGGTTTATGTGTAAAAAGAAGGTTGGTTAAACGTCAACCAATTGGCTGATTCCTCAGTGATGTCAACTTCTGAAGACAGGTTCATGTTTGTATTAAAACCACGGCATTAATCTAGATTTAAAACAAACAAATAACACTGCCCGTCCCCCCCACCTCCACAACACAAACACGGAGCTGAGAGTAAAGAACGAGCAAGGAAAGGGCAGGCTTTCTCTAAGGGCTGTTTCTGTCCACAAGCCCGCTAAAGTTAGAAGCGGTGTTTCTGAAACAACTCAAGCAATTAATTATGTAAAAGCTCTCCCTTAGCTTTTTGGCCCATCTGCAACAATAAGCAGATTTTTCAGGTATTATCGTCATCGTCACTTTAATACCGATTAGCAAACCCGCACACAGTCTGCAGGGAATGGGAAAATCCTCCAGCGAGAAGGATGCCTATTTTCTTGTACTGCGCTACCTGACACTTTGTCTTGATAATCTCTGCGCTAGTTTTCCATTGGTTTCCCATCAATAGACACCGATAAAAAACAAAAAAAAAACAAAAAAAAAAAAACCAAAACAAAAAAAAAAAAACCCAAACCCAAAAAACCAACTCACTCCGCTCTCCGTCCCCCAGCATCTCCCCTTAGCCGGTCTGCAGCACTTCCCGCCCCTCCCGCGGCAGCCCGCTCCCCCTCCCCGGCGTTCGCGGGTGGGGGGGCTCGGGGACGAGCAAGGTGCAGGGAGGGGGGGGGGGGGGGGGGAGGGTATGGGCGGATTTCGGAGCGCAGAGGACGGGGAGGGAGGGAGGAGGGTAAGGCAGAAGCCACTAGAAGCGCGCTAGCCGGAGAGAGGCGCCGGCAGTTGGGCTGCGAGAGCCCGGGGGGGGCCGCGCTGCCCGCGGGGTGAGGGGAGGACACCCGGCGCCGGGAGCCCGCCGGCTTACTCACCGTCTCCCGGCGGCACGGGGATGGCGAAGGGGGGGCACTCCACCTTGATGGGGTGGTCGGCGTAGGAGGAGCACTCCCCGGAGTCCTCGGTGAAGTTGTCGCGGGGGGACTCCAGCTCGGCGTCCTCGTCCAGCTCGGCGTCCACCTCACGGCTGTTGCGCGGCGTGCCCGGCGTGGGCGGCCCGGCCAGCGGCCCCGCCGGCTGGGCGCCGTCGGGCGGCGGGGCCAGCGGCTCCGGGGCGCCGTCGGGCCCCCCCCGGCAGCTGAGGATCCGGTCCATCTCGTCGTAGTACTTGCATATCTTGCGGGCGTGCCCGTTCTTCTTCAGCCCGTCCCGGGCCTGGTAGTACTGGCGCTTGAGGCCCTTGATGCGGATGCGGCACTGCTCGGGGGTGCGCTCGAAGCCCAGCTCGGCCAGGCGGCAGGCCACGTCCCGGTACACATGGCTGTTCCGAAAGTTGCCGTCCAGCGCCGACTGCACGTCCGCCTCGCCCCAGATCTCCAGCAGCGCCCGCGTCTCCAGGTCCGACCACAGGAAGCCCCGCGTGTTCGTGATCATCCTTGGCCGGCCGGGGTCACTGCAATGGCCGCGCACCGGGGAGAGGGAGGGAGGGAGGGAGGGAGGGAGAGAGCGAGGGAGGGAGGAGGGAGGGAGGGACGGAGGGGGGCGGAGGAGGGCGGCGGGGAGGAGGGAGGGGGGGGTTCAGTGCCCGCACTCGGCTCTCCCAGGGGCCGCCTACGCCAGCCCCGGCCGCGGCAACCGCGGCGCGGCGGGAAGCGGCGGGGAGCCGGGCCCCGGGCCCCGCATGATGCGCCGCCGCTCGCAGCCCGCACGGACGCAAACAAAACTTTCCAGGCGCCGCTTTGCGTTGCGGGCACCTGCAATTAAAAAAAAAAAAAAAAAAAAAAGGGGGGGGGGATAAAAAAAAAAAAAAAAAACACAACACCAAAAACAACCACTAAACCACCTTCCCACCACCCCCTGGAAACAATGCTGATAAATAAAAAAAAATAAATAAACACGTAGCCGCGGCCCCCTCCCCGGGGGCAGGACGCGCCGCCACCCCGCTCAAGCAGCCTCAGCCGTTCGCGGCCGCTCCCCCGCCCCGGGCTCCTCCGGGAGCGGCAGGACGACGGCGCTGGCTGGACTTGGAGGCCCTGCTCATCACCGTGCGCCTCCCTCCTTCCTCCCTTCCCTCCTCCCCCCCTCCCTCCCTCCCTCCCTCCCTCCCTCCCTCCCTCCCTCCCCGCCGCAGTGGAGCACGATCGCTGCGCACACACAGACACACACACAGAGCTGCAGCTCGGCGGGGAAGCCCCGGGCTCCGCTCGGCGCATCCCCCCCCCACACACCCCCCGCCACCGCGGGCAACCAGCACCCGCGCCCCCCCCGCAGGGGCCGGGGTGTCCCCCAGGCCTGGGGGCAGGCAGGCAGGCGGCCCGGGGCTCGGCTCGCCCCGGCGGGCCGCCACGACCAGGGGACGGCGCCTCCCGGACGCCCCCGCTGGGTCGGGCAGCGCCTGGCCCCGCGCTGCGGCGGGGCCGGTGGCGGGGTTGGAGGGCGCTCACACGCACCCCCCGCCATCCCTTCGCCAGGCCCGTGAGCGCCCCGGCCCCCACGCTGCAGGCGGAGAGGGGAGCGGGGGGGGGGTTCGTCGTGCCCGGGCCGGCCCCTGCCCTTTCGCTCTGCTTTTGCTCCGAAACCGCTCGCCGGCGCCGAGCCCACCTCCCCGTCGCGGGGCGGGGGGCGCTACTCACCCACGGGCTTCCGCGGCGCCCACCCGCCCCCACCTCCCCCTCAGGGGCGGGCCCCACCCCCTGCCCGCCACAGCCCCGCCGCAGAGAGACGTTTATACCTTCATGGCCCCGCAGCCAGAGGACCGCGGCCAAGGCCGAAGCCAGCGCAGCCACGGTGGCGGCGCCCCGGCCCCACATCCTCCCGTGGGCGGAGGTGAGGGGAGGGAAGGAAGGAAGGAAGGCAGAGGGGCTGCGGCCGCTCCGCGCTCGCCTTCTTACCTAGCCACAGCGCGGGGCTCCCGCCGGCCCCCGCCAAGCGCGCAGGGAAGCGGCGCGCACAGCTCATCGGCGCGGCTGCGGGGCCGGGGGAAGGGAAGGGCCGGGCCGGGCCGGGCCGGGCCGGGGCACCGCGCCGCGCCGCGGCGGCAGCAGCCAATGGCGGCGCGGGGCCTGCGCGGGCGGGCCGCGCTGAGGGAGCGGCCGCGGCTCCCGGGGCCCCGGCCCCGGCGGCCTCGCACCGGGGCGGCCTCGGGGCTCCTGGCGGCCCCGCCGCGGCGGGACGGGGAGCCGGGCCGTGGTGTGGCGGGGCCCGGGAGGGGAGAGGAGAGGGAGAGCCGGCCCGGCCCTCACGGCGCTTCGGGGGCTGCCTTCCCAGCCCGTCTAATGGGCAGCAATTAAAAACTGATAGGAATTACCATTCGTTGCTCCCAGCGTTTCAAACCTCTTCGCGTCCCTCACCTCACCAGGCATCGCCGAGCAAACCCCGGGTTTACGAGTGCAATTCGTTTCTGAGCTTCTATTTTTAGCTCAGATACATCATTTCAGAGCAGTATTCTTGTAATATTTTCTTTTAGTCTTACACCGGAGCCAATGGATGTACCAGCTGATGTTCACCTCTGGTCCTGCAGCACCTGCTTAATCTAGACAATAAATCAAAATTCAGCATCACCCGGGAAAAACTAACGTGATTATATGAATGAGAAATCTGAAACCTTAAAGCTCAAACCAGCTGTAATTTCTGCTCTAGACTCTCAGATATTTCAAGCAAGAGTGTCATCACTAACTCATAAAAGCTTCTGGCCTCACTGCAGCAGTAAAACGTCAATGTTTCAGTCAATGGGTATTTTGAAGGGGTGAAGACAGGCAACACTTCCCGTTGTTTTGTATTGTACATAAGCTGTGGTCAAACAGACCTGCTGGTTTTACCTGGATCAAGCCCAAGCAGGAGAGATTTGTGCCCTCCAGCTGCAGAAGCATCGCTTAAAACAGCCGTGCTGTCTGCAAACTGCAAGACAGGCAACCCAAGCTTTTAGTAACCCAGACTGAACAGTAACCCAGGTAGTGGAGCAGGAACTTGGATGACTGACAACTTCATTGTCAGCTATTAACTTGTTTATTGAAAAGTTGCTCTTCTATACGTCCTGGTATCTGGTACAATTTTAAAGGCAATACTGGGTCAGTAAAATCTGCCCTGTATTCAGCCAGCACAATTAGTGCTTTTTACCCCTTGATTGTCTGACTGTATGGCAACCCAAAAGATAGATTTAATGGCAAATCATGTGTAGTTATTACATGAGTTGTAACCCAGAAAAATAAAAATTACCGGGTTGTTGAACACTACTTTTTTTACTGTGTTTTGATTCCAACTGGAAAGATAAAGAGAGTGTAGATTCCCTGTAACTGCAGCACTCATCTAATGTCTGGAGGAGAGGAGGGAAAGAACGATGCAGGTGTTTTTTTCATACCATCAAGTGTCTCTGGCTCCACCAAAAACTTGTCTTGTGTCCAACAAAAGAGAGAGAAAGAAAGATACAGTTGTAATGTCATTTCTTACCGAGTTGTCTGGTTTCCTTTGAGCAGAGATGGAAGCAAGTTCTGGTGCTGCAGAACCCTCAAAAGTTGTTTGTGGAATCGGTGAAGTTTCCAGGACCCAATTCTCAATTCATGTGCAGAAGAAAACGTAAGGTGATCTGTGGGCTTCCTCTGCGCCAAAGTTGTTCAGATTGTTATGCACAACCTTGACATCAACTAGAACAGTCTTGCTACTGCTATAAGCCAAGTTGACTGTAAAAACTTTGAGCAAAGCACACTGCTGCTCCTGAAACATTGTACTGCTCTGTGTCTAACTCAAGGTACCTTCATTTGGTATAGTGCTGGCTGCCATGTCCGTACCATCTACAGTATAAATCCATAACTGCTAGTGCCATCTCTGAGCCCAGCACCAGCAATGTTACTTAACAGGGGGATGAGGCAGGAAAAAAGAGCCTTTACAGAACTACAGAAGGTAAAAGGTGTGCGAGGCAAAAGTTCACATGCTCATCATAGAGAAAAAACAACTGCAAGTCACCTATTTCTTTAAGCATATACTGTACTGTGCATTTTTTATTGAGCTTCCTGTTCTGACAGTCCTGTCACTTTGTCTGCTTGTAAGTCTGCTTGTCCCACTCTTACCTGGAGGGAGGAATGACCCAGTGGAGTTCCCTTTCATGCTCTGGGCAAAATCCTTCTCGATTCATTGCTTGTTGCTCCTTTGCTGGCCCCTACCTCTTTCTCAGAGTCTTGCCCCACCTTCCTCAGCTCTTGATCTCAGCCTTCAGTTCCAGCATTTTAACCCTTTTCTAGCTGCACTGTCACCACAACATATTCTCCTTATTAGTGGAATAATTACTACAACCTCTTCTTCCCCTTTGCTACACAAAGAAAGGCTAGCCATCAATGCCTGGCCTGAGAATGTCCTACTGCTGTCAAGGTAGGCAAGAGCTTGGAGCTTAGTAGTAGATGGCAGCAGTCACTGGTAGCTGGTGCTTGCTGGGAGCAGAATGTCTGTACATAGATAGGGTGAGGTATGGACTTTAAGCTAGATGTCCCTAGGTAGGCACCCCAAAATAATGACCACTATGGACCATGTTGTGGTTTCTTCTGCAGGTTCCTGCTGAATCTTTGTTCACAATATTTTTGATTTTTGTTTCTGATGACTTTGCACCCACTCAGCACGTAAGCCTGAGCCCTTTGCCATCCATTTGGTAACTGTTGTGCAACCCGGCCTACCCAAGCCATTCCAAGGTGAGCGTGGACAGCAGGTGGCAATAGCAGAGCTTGCAACATCCTTTGATTGCGTTCTCTCAACTCAAATAATTGTCAGCCTATACTGGAATCACCGTTTAATGTCATAAATATTATATCTGTGTTAACATGTCCATGCACATAGCTGCAACAGGAGGTTTAAGCATTCATATGGAGTGAGGGAATGGAAGAACTCAGAAGTAATAAGTAGCTTTAATTGAAACTGCCCATAAAATATGACCAGAGATTTCTTTGTTGTTGAAATGGGAATCTGGAAGCACTTTTCATCATGAAAAAATGAAAAAGTAGAAAGTCTTAATTTCATTTGAATATTTACCTAGCTAAATTGTAGGAGTTAGCATTGATAGTGGTAATAGAGAAGGCAGTAATGGTGTATGTGTTAAGATAAAAAGGGGGCCAGTCCTGCAGATGTTATAGCAGTACTATTTACTGCCATAAAAGTGAGTGGAATGAACATGTTTTACACCAAATATTATGTTTCTCTTAGTACAGGACAAAATGTGGGTTTATATGGCATAAATTTTAGTTTGTTAGTTTTCATGTTTCTCTAGGCTACAAACAAACTAAAAATATTACAACATCTGAAGCTATAATAATCATTCCTGTCACTACACTTCTCTACATTTCTGTATTCAAGAGAAAGGATAGCAGCAAACAATTAACAACAATCTGTTACAGAAATGCATCATTATGCTTTGGTTTACCTACAATGTTTACTAAATAGGGATGTCACACAGGCAGAAGAAGGGAAAGGAAACTGTAAATGAGAAGTATACCCACACCTGATTAAATACTGTTTCTTACAGCTTCTGTAACTCTTCATCTTTTTACCAGAGCAGTACAGACACTATCACTTCTATACTTATTCATTATAATAACAGTTGCCAAGCTCTGTGCTTCACTACATAATTTTTGTTTTATCCAAAATGAACAGGAAGATTTTTTTTTTCTTTTTGCTGAGTGCTAATGGTGAAAAAAACAGATCTCAAGGAAACAATAAATAGGTTTCTATTTTGTCCTCTTCTTAGAGCAGCCAATAAGAATATACTGCAATAGAAGCGAAGAGGGTTTTTTGGGGCTCACCTGACTTCTTCAAACAAGCTCCTGATATATAGTGCAAACAAACATGTATAAACTTGCACACCTCTTAAGCAACATCCAAAAAGTTAAAGCAAATGGTCTCTTTTTCAATAGGGAATAATGAGACTCTTAAGAAAGTAAATACTGTGCAGTTATATGGTTTTCCATAAAACTGCTTTTGCTCTGTCCTTTGGTGGCAGAAGGTAACATTTGCCAAATCCATTAACTTACACAATTTAGAACACTGCTATTACTATGAAATATACTACTCATTTATATAAATTTTTCACTGTTCAATAGTTATGTGATGCTTGCTTTTAGTTGTGTTGCAGCTGAGCCTGGAGGCTTTGCCTGGGTATCATCTTACCCATTGTACATACAGAGAAGTCAACCTCTTGCTCAAAACTCAGCTTTATGTGCATTTAAGAGAGACACAGATACTCACAATGATGGACAGATTTGTAAAGGATAAATTGGTTTTACCTTAAGTGACGCAGTTCAGTTCAGCCTTGGAAACACATAAGTATATATTGAACATGACTGTTAGAAGACTACATGCTATATCCACAAAGGGATTTGAACGCTGAAAGGTTCCTCTTTCAGGTACCTTGCTTCATTTTGTTTTGTTTTGGGTTTGGTTTTGGTTGTGTTGGGTTTTTTTGTTTGTTTTGTTTTGTTTTGTTTTTTTTCCTGTAATATGTTGCTAATCATCTCACAGATTCATCATATCAACTTTAGTAGTTGTGTCCCCAGATTTTTCTAGCGACTTCATAGTTGCTTTCCCCACAACCCCCTAAGCCTTGCATTTGGAGTCAGTCTCAGATTGCTGTAATGCCATGGGTGATGTTGTTGCCTTCAGTTGCTTCTGGATTTGTGCATAATCTTGTTGCCCGAAGGGAAAAGCTGTAGTTCTCTTTCCTCCCTGTGAGAGCTGTTAATACTAAGTTTTCCTGAGATCTTGTATATGGAGAATATACTCTAGTCCTTAATATGCCTACTCTTCAATATGGAAGTGTTAAAATCTAACAGGCATACCTGAGTTTGATTACAGCATCCTCTACTTGAGAGTCAGCATATATACATGTGTATTGTTTCTTCTTGTTGTTGCCACAGCTGTGTGAGTGTATGGGCAGCAACAATTAATTTTCTTCATGCCAAGGCCAGCTCTGCAAGTTTTACTGGTATAGGTAATCCCATTGGAGGAGGAGAAGGTAATTTAAAAATAAAAGCCAAAATAGGCTAAGAGGGTGGATATAACTATGTTGTTATAAAGATGACACATCAGAATGATGATTTTCCTTGCCATATGGGAATACCTATCACAATAAAAAGCACATTTATACAAATATAACTATAGGCATGTTACGAAGTTGAGGTAGCAGGGAGATTGTATCGCTTTAGTTCTATCATGATAATTAAAATGGTACCTATTCTTGACAGACGAGCCCCAAGTAGCCTATGCCAATTTTGAATTACTTCATTTGGCCAATTGTTTTCCACAAAGAAGCTTGTCCTTTCACATGAAGTAAAATAAACTTTTCAAACCCATATTTCCATTTTCTATCCTTCATTATTGTTAATACCTTTCCCAGAAAGGCATGCCACATCAATGAATCCTGTTCTAATAGCACATTTTCATGAAGAGTAGTTAATGCAGGAGCAGCAAAGATCAGGAGGGGTGGGAATTTTGTGTGGGGGTGTGGGAAAGTCTTGACAGATGGCTCCCCAGAACGAGGGCTGCCAAGTGTCACGTGTCAAGAAAGAAGACGTGCGGCCGGGGAGGAAGGGGGGCAGGCAGCCCTTCTGCCCCTGAGCTCCCGCTGTCACCTCTGGGCTCGCACTGAAAGAGGTCAGGCAGCCCATGCCAGGGCCACCACTGTACCAACCCACCCCTCCCGCACTCTGCTCTCCCGCTGTCTTCCAACGTCTTCCACCGAAACCAAGTCTCGTTCACAGATCAAAATGAGATTAAACTCTCGGTGAGTGAAGGGGAGAGGTCTCTGTGTGCCCGTGCAGTTAGGGGAAGGCCTCACTGCCCTGAGGCCATCCCGCTGGTGCTCCCCAGCTCCAGAGCCTTTCCCCTCCCTCCGCGCCTGCCCGCGCTCGGCCCCTTCCTTGCTGGCCGCGCTGCGGCTCAGCACCCGCTGCCGCCTGGCTCCAGCCTCCCCCGGCCACGCACGGAGGCTGGCCACAGCAGCCGTCTGCTTCCACTCTCCCTGCGCAAGAAGTGGCTCCTGATGCACGGAGAGACAGCCTGCACTTCACCAGAATCCACCCAGGCAGGAGCCCCGACGGAGGGAAAAGAGGCGTGTGCGGCAAAACCCGGACACCGTAGCAGGGACTAACCACGCCATCCCCTGGTGCTGTGGTGGTGGGGAACGCGTGGCAGAGCGATAATGAGCTGGAGCGTCTTGAGCTGCTGAGGCCAAACCTCAGCTAGGGATGCAGAGCTCGAGTGAGGGTGCAATACCGTTGTGTACTGTCTTCAACCTGCAGTGCTGACTGATCTCCTACCGTGCTAACCCACGTCTTCAAAACCATGCAGGGAGAGGAGGGCTAACAGCCCTCTTCAGGTGCCCGACTCCACAAATAAGGACTCCAGGACACTCTTCTTGCCTTCCCCATTGTTTAATTATACATTCCTCTCCCTCAGGCTAGCACTCTTGACCTTTGCATCCCCACGCTCCCCTTCCTTTCTCTTGAATACCTCCTTGTCCCACCGCAGAGCACGCTTTGGTCCCTGCTCCGTTTTTTCTTTTGCAAAGAGGGTCGCAGCACTATGTTGAATCTGAGGGAACACCTTGCAGTGGAGCAGGCACTGCAGCTGGGTGCTGAGCCTCACACACTTCTGCCGGATTGCTGTGATATACTGTGTGTGCCACAGGTGAGCAGTTTCTGCAGGTGATGGCAGAGGACCAAAGAAATAGTCTGTAAGTCGCCTTCAGCCCAGTTGTCAGCTGGCGAGTTACCTGCTGTGAAAAAGTCTTTTAAGGCACTGCCTTCCAAGTGGCCATGAAGGCTTCCTCTTGTTATATGGAAACCAGATTATTGCTGAACTTATTTGATCCACTCCTAGGGAGTAATAAAATATACATTTTGCTCAGTGAAAACTCCATCTGGTCTCTGAGCTATATTGGCATGGCAAACGTCCACCTTCCATTGCTGTCACTTGCAGTCCCCATCCAGCCACTTATCAGTTCATCTGTCACAAGAAGCAGAAGGATTTCCCTTTCATAGACAAAAAGTCATCTCCCCAAGGCCTTTAGTAACCAGTCCTGCCTCTATTCTGGCAACTGAAGCATCACATTTTAAGGTTGAAACAGCTTAAAAAGGATTTAACAGGCTGCCCCTTCTGCTCAGGCATTCTGAACTGTCTCTCTACAAAGAAACTGTGTAATGGGGAGTGAAAGCATTGGGAATTAAAAATTAATCAATCTTAGGTTTGTTTTTTGTGGGTTTTTTTGTTTGTTTCTTTTTTTTTTTTTTTTTGTTGTTGTGTTGGTTTTTTTTTTTCTGGAAGAGCTCTTTTATAATGCTTCAAAGCAGACAGGAGTTTGCTGGGTAGGAAAATCAGCAAACTGAGTGCCGTGCTCTTGAGATAAAATGTGATGCCTTTCATTTGCAGCTGTGCACACACAGTCTTAATCCACGCTGTGTTTATTAGGTTCAAAAGCACTTCTATCAAATTCACCGACGAAAAAGAAGTGCTGCAGGTTTGGGCTGAACTATCCTTCTGATACCTGTGGGCCAAGGCGGAGACCTCAGGTCTTCCCTTTCTCAGTGTGGGGACCTCCCTCCCTCCCTCTTAGGCTGAGTTCATTAAAGCTGCTGACCTGTTGCAGTTCATCATGATTACACAAGTGACTCGGTCACCTTTCAAAAGCATCACATTATTTCAAGACAAAAACATTACTGAGTAATATCATGATGGTAAATATCTGATGGAGAAAATACTGTTTATCAAGTTTAACAGAAGCTGGAGGTTATTAGTTCTCCGTCAAGTGTATGTTTCTGCATGTGTTTCCTTGACCCTGTTCAGAGATGCCCTGTCTCTGTGCCCTTCTCCCTCCCTGTTTTTTGTCCTGTTGAGCCAGAATCCACTTGTATAGTAATTTTCTTGAGGGCACAAAATTTCTTAGACTTGTTTACCAGCCAGAAGATTAATCTTAACTACTCTACAGTGATTCTAGGATCTCAAAGTTGCAAAGGACACCTATTGATACATCAACCTCTGAACATCTCATGTGTGCAGACTCTGGAGATACAATTTTTGCTTTTTCTGGGCTTCCAAAGTCTCATGTCTGTTACAAAAAGGCACTTTTATGAGTAAAAAGACTCAGAATTGGAGGTCGAAGTGACAAAGGATAAAGATGACCCAATTGTGGAGGTGTGTGAGGACTGTTTCAGAGTAGTGGAAAAAAATGGAAATAAAGGAGGTCAAAGAGTTTCAGAAGATGCTTCTGGCTGAGTATTTTTGCCAGGTCATGAGCTGTAACGGGAAATATGGAGTGTAATTCAGCTCCAGATTGTAGACATCTAAATTTAGCTATTAAATGTAGGTAACTGCCTGTGAGCCACATACCTAAACTTCCATTTCAAGCAATGGAGATGAAGTCCTTAGAGTTATTGGGGCCTGGAGAGCTACCAACCTCATCCTAAATTAGACACCTACCAGGCCAGTCAGGCAGAGACCCAATCCTGCTGCTACTAAGGTACTTTGTAAACTTTGGCACGTCTGTTTGGCACATACCCTGATGCCTACGGTTGCCCGAAACCAGAGGAACTGCACACACCTCTCCGGTAACTGTGTTGGCAGGGGGAAACTATGAACCTGTTTGCCCATACCAGAAACACATCAGATGGTTGGGATAGCTGAGTATAATGCATCCTTCGGCACAAGCCTCCTCAAAAGTCTCAGAAGCTGATCATATACTTGCTTATTTCACATGGTAGGCACATGAAGGATGTAAACATGACATCAGCTGCTTCTGGGAAGCCCAAGACCTTCATCTGTTCAGAGTCTCTCTTCCAGGCTTACTGGTGTGGGCATAGTCGTGACTGTGGGGCTATGGACAGGAGCTTTAGGTCTTGGGGCATTTTGGTAAGAGCAGCCAGATATGTCTTCAGTAGATGCTATTAATTGAAAAGACGTGGCATGACAACCCTGGCACTTTATACTTATGGAGTATATATGAAATATATCAGGAAAGCTAAAACCAAACTTTATAGCTCCAGCATTAACATCTATAGCTCAGTCATTCACAAGGGAAAGGGCACTTTCCTATGTATTTCTCTTTTATATTACCCTCTACTCAACTTAAATGTAGAAAAAAAAAAAGCCCAAACAGACCCACAATGACATTATCGGAGCTTATTTTTATCTCTTTCTTTACAGAGTTCACTAGCGAGGCTGCAAATCTTTTTGGTATATTGCACAAGGATTACAAGAATTCAACTACTAATGGATTTTCACAGTAAACATAAGATGAGTAGAGAGCACTTCTAGAAATGCAGTATGTTCATACAGTTCAACATAAGATGTGGGAACACATGAATACTTAACAGCGGATATTAAGAACAGATACCATCAGCTAACATAGGAAGATATATGCATAGATAATTGACTTGCACTTCATGAGAAGGTTCTTGGTCCCTCACTGCTCATTGCACATGCACTTCACAAGGTATTCGTGGTACACATCTGCCTGAAAAGCATCATCAGCTTTGTTTGTGCTGCTGTTTCTACATGGTCATGTCCTTTCTTGCTGTTATTAGGCTTCTGTTTGCAACTAAAGGCTGTTACTTCCACCTGCTGTGGGCAAAAATCTGCCTCTGAAAGACTCTCACTGTCCCTTGGCAGCATGACACAGAAACCTGTCTCCACAAAACCAGTAGCTGTCAGTTCTGGACTTTAGGGACCACAGGATCATCTTCAGGACAACTTTACATTACTTATTATGAGGTCCCTCCAGGAGATGAATTTTCTGGGCCTGGACTTCTAAGCCTCTTACGTTCCCTAGATGGGAAAAGTGACTGGTGTACAGCCCACCGTTCATGCAAACACAGAGCAGCCTGGCGAGTTGCAGTGCTACGAATCTTCTCCTTCCTTTTCTCACTTATAAGCAAGAGAGCTTGAAAGAGAAGTGATTCCTCTCTTGTAACCCATATATATCACTGTGCTCTGCTGTTTACCCAACAAAAGCTTTCCTCTCTCCTACACCCTTTGTAATTACTATTGACAGCACGATTCTTCTGATTGTCAATCAGATTTATAACCTGGACATCACCTTCAGATTGAAGCTTTGAATTCCCTGCATCCAAACTATGCTTAAATCCTGCAGGTGATTTTTGCCTACTGTTCTGAGGAAGTGATCCTTCCTGTCTACTCACATACCAAAAAGCTTGTCAAATACAGGCACTGCAGTATCAGAGGAAGAGTGAGAACTGCTATTTTTTGTCAGAATCCTTGTCTGTAATCCCTGTCATGCTTAGAAGTACTACTCACTGATCAAGACCCCACTTTTTAATTGATTATTTTGATAATTTGA